GCCGCCCCCTGGCCGCGGGGGCACGCAAGGTGGTGACGTCACCGCGCGGCCCGTGACCGGAAGTTCGTGAATTTCCGCTTCCGGAGGCGGAAGTAAGGCACTCTCTGGTTCTTCGGTACAGTCCGAGTTGCAGTTGTTGGCTTTGCTGCTGTGCTTTTTATTTTTAGAAGCGGGTGCGGGTGACTTGGAGGTATCGCGGCGCCCAGTTCCCGCGCAGCTCTTTGCACAGTTGTCCTTGTGGGAGGAGGAGGGATGGGAGGAGTCCGTGGAATGGAACCTGTGGAATTAACCTTAGTTTTGATCTACAGGCTCCCCTGGGTTCGAAGTTGCGCTTCACCTAGCTAAGAGAGGCTAGTAAGAAAAGTCGGCGCTTTGGAATTTCGGGGATAAAGCCTACTTTTTAGCTTGTGGAGTTTAATGAAGACAATGTACGTGAAGCAGTTAGTTTTGGTTTTACAGGTCATTCTGCTACCTTTTCTGATCATATTCAGGCCTGTACTTGCCCTTTTCTTCTCAATATCTCTGAGATGTTTAGTGTGCAGGAAGGTTATGCATCTCATGAGGTTATGCACCTGCAGTGCTAGGTGGGATTGAACTCTTCTGTATTGCGAAGTCCTGACAATATTTTGTAACCTCCTCCCTCCCACCCCCCCTTCTTTTTGGCCATTTTTAGGGACAACTATTTTCCAGCTTTTTCTGGAGGAATGCAGAAGTCCTCTTAAGACTAATGAGGTGAGAAATGCATTGTTGTAAAGGTCTCTGAACTGCTTGTTTTGTGGAAAGAAGGCCCACTGGAGTGTAATACCCTAGGGCCAGGCATTAGCCATTTCATTAAAAGCCCCTTTATTAGGCTTCTGTGAAGCAGAGGGCAGTGTAAAACCTCTTTTATTCCTTAGACCATACAAGTTGTAGGTACACAGATTTTCAGTGTATTTTTAAATTTTGGATTTCACCTCTAGCAGTAATGGTTTTGGCTCATTAAAAACGTTAATTTGAGATTGAAATACATTATGGAGTATTAATTATTTTGGAAACTTGTAGATTGAGGCAGTTGATACTTCTTGCATTAGGCTGTTTAAATATTTATTCACCTTACTAGATGTAAGGGGAGTATTTTGGATGGAAATTGGGTGCTAAAAGAGTAAAGTAGCATTGATATTTATCAGGTTTAACATTTTTGTGTTGAAAACTGAAAAATAGGTAAAGGTAGTATATATTATTCTATTATGTTTTTGTACTCCAAGACAATTTTAATTTGTTTTTTAAAATTTAATATCAGATTGCAATAAACACATAAATTAATATTTTAATATTTCAGAATTAGTACATAGCTGCCATTAATCTGTCAGAGATAACTGTTTTGTTCCATTTTTTTCTCTCTGCATATTACCCTACTCATACCATTATGCAGTTTGCCACTTAAAATACTTTGGACATCTTTCCATTGTGTTAGATCTGCCTCATTTTAAAAAAGGAGGCTGTATAGTATTTTATTACATAGTTGTGCCACAACTTATTAGTCATTCTTTTGGGGACATTGGGTTCCTTCTTTTTGTCTATAGCAAATAGTATTATGATGATAATCCTTTTCATAATAATGTGTATTCTTGTCTTGGATAATCTCCCAGAAGTGGAAATGTTGGCTTAAAGGATATGATGGAGGGTACCAAATTCTCTGCCAGCAGTGGTATTTGAGAATTTCTCCCATATCCTCATATGCTCACCAACATTTGATATTAGGTAACATTGTATTAAGCTTCGCTGAGACTGTTCATAATATATTTTGGGTCAGTTTATTGCATGTATAGTATTGTAGTCAAAACCAAATTTTAGTTGCCAATTCTAAGTCCATCTGAGCTCTTTCTGCCCCCCCCCCCATAGAAATAGTGTAGATTCCCTAGTAATAAGTAATTATAAAATAAATGCTTCACTTCAACAATGTATACTTGTTTAGTTAAAGATTTGTAGGAAGGTAGTATTTGAATGGGATCTTGTACTATGGATAGACATCAGGATGATAGGCCTTTCTGAAAGATATCTTAACAAGGCAGGGAGACAAGAGTGGACAAGGATGTTTAGGACCAGAGGTTTGAGAGGCAGTGGTGCCTAGTGGTGAAGTTGTAGAATAGCAGCTAGCTAGAAAGATAGGTGGAACTGTGTGGTGAGGGCTTTGAAGCTCAGTCTGAAGATTTTACTTTGTAGGGGAGAGCTACAGAGATCTTTAATCAGGAAATGAGGGACATAATTACATACTTGTTTTACAAGTATACTATGATGGAAGTTTTGAGTGACAGGTGTTAGAGGAGCAAGTTAGGTGGCTATTATAGTCTGAGTGAATGAAAAGCAAAGAGTAGAGAGGTTGGGGTTCAGAGATGATGAACAAGCAGAATACGTGATTTGATGATAGGTTGAGGAAGGGAGAGAAAGCAAAGCTTTTGTATTTTTATCATGAGTGACTCAGGTTAGTGATAATGATTTCATTAATCAGAGGAGGTCTAGTTTGGGGGCTGGGAAAGATGCTCATTTTGGTTTTGGACATGTTAATTTGTGTGAAAGATATTTCCATGGAGAGGGAATTATGCACAAAGACATAAAATCCACCTATGAGATTCAGGAGAAACCTTAATGCACTTTTAAAAAATATATATTTTATTGATTTTTTTACAGAGAGGAAGGGAGAGGGATAGGGAGTCAGAAACATTGATGAGAGAGAAACAGCAGTCAGCTGCCTCCTGCATACCCTCTACTGGGGATGTGCCCACAACCAAGGTACATGCCCTTGACTGGAGTCGAACCTGGGAACGTCGGTCTGCAGGCTGACGCTTTATCCACTGAGCCAAACCGGTCAGGGCCCTTAATGCACTTTTGTTAAGAAACTTGGCATATATTTTCACTTTCTTTTAGTCTTTCATTAATAGAGTTTCTTTTGAGCTTTATGTGGCTTTTCAACCCTGTTTGAGGGTGTGTTCTCTAGAGTAGGCTTTTTTTGATTGTGTATACTCTCCAAGAGAGGTTTATACATGTACTTTCAATATATTTATATTTTATTTATTGGTGAGTTAGGTACATGTCTTACAATATATATTGTATACATTTTAAAATACAGAAAGTAGAAATTTTAAAAGGCTGAGGCAAATATAAGTTGGAATTTTACTGTTTGTTCCTACATTCCGTTGGAACATATTCCTACCCCTCTTTGGAAAGTACTGGTCTTATCCATAGCTGTCAGTGTTCTGTCTGATTATTCAGTAGAGGTCACCCTTGAGCGTCTGGAAGAGCAAATTTTTGATTTGGGCAATGTAAAGCCTTCCTTTAGTTCAGTGGTTCTCAACCTTTCTAATGCTGCGACCCTTTAATACAGTTCCTCATGTTGTGGTGACCCCCAACCATAAAATTATTTTCGTTGCTACTTCATAACTGTAATTTTGCTGCTGTTATGAATCGTAATGTAAATATCTGATATGCAGGATGTATTTTCATTGTTACAAATTGAACATAATTAAAGCATAGTGATTAATCACAAAAACAATATGTAATTATATATGTGTTTTCCGATGGTCTTAGGCGACCCCTGTGAAAGGGTTGTTCGACCCCCAAAGGGTCGCGACCCACAGGTTGAGAACCACTGCTTTAGTTAGAAAGAGGACCTTATTTTTTAAGTTTCTAAATTCATGCTTTTTTGGGAGAGTGTATAATTACATAGTAGCATGTAGCATTATGGAGAAGTGAAGAATAGTGAATTCAAAGTATAGGGCAGTCTAATATGTGCTTTTGTTTGATGTTTACCTTGTGAGCAGTCTGCACTTTTGTTTGAATGCTATTTGATTCCATACTTTGGGAATATTTTTCCGATTCTTTGGGGATCTTTAGATTATCTGAGCTATAGGAATGTTCCCAGTCTGTAGGCATAATCTAAATTCTTGTTAAATTGGAATAATTAAAAGGATAGGCACAGAGAGGCTTTTATGATGTTGATCTTGAAAGCAGTATCTCAAGTCCAAAGATATTAGTGGTGAGTTGAAATCATCTAGCTCTATTTTCTATTTTATGCCTAATTAAAGTGCCTCTTTTAAGTGATAAGAGCCCATTGTAAGTAATTAGGAATAAAAATCTAAGTTCATCACAGCTGTGTAGTCTGAAAAGGATAAAGTACAATTTAAAAAATATATGTATTATTGTATGATTCAGACCATAAGTAGCTTAGGAAAATAAATTATCTGATAAGAATAATCTTTGTTGCTTTCCTCATAAAATATTTCCTATAAATAGATGATCACTTTACTAGGGACTTATGATTGTTACCATGTAGCAGTTCATACATTTCATGACTCATTTCTGAATGATCAAGAAAATTAGATATTGAGTTTTTAACCACTTGCACAAAGTTATATGTGTTGTGAAACTGATGCAGAGAGCCCTGGGCTTGTCTTTTGTAATGTGGTGGCCTGGGGAGAATGGTAAAAGTAACTTTTAAACATGTCATCTTGCAGCACAGTTCCATGTGTGGTGTATTATTTGGATTAAATATCCCAACTAGATCATTTGGAAGATGAACATTGGTTTGGAGTTGTTGGGTTACAACCAAGGGGACAATAATGTAAATTGAGTGAGGAGTTTGGAAGCAGTTGTTGTTGTTGACCAGAGCTAAGGATTAGGCTCTAATAATAGCCTGGATTTAAAGAGTGCCATGAATCTAGAAAAATGTGTTTATGGTGCAAGAATTCTGGTGTTGGTGTCTCGGCTGAGGTAACCCTCTTGCTCTTGCCGCATGCTGGTGTTGGAGGACTCTCCCTGCCTCAGATTTACCAACAGCATGAATCAAGAAAAGTTAGCCAAACTTAAGGCTCAGATCCAGATAGGGGACAAGGGTATGGCTTGCAGAAAGAAGGTGGTACATAGAATAGCTACAGCTGATGACAGAAAACTTCAGAGTTTTCTGGAAAGCTGGTATTGAAGAGGTAAACTTGATTCAAGATGATGGAACAGTTATTCATTTCAACAATCCCGAAGTCCAAGCTTCCCTTTCTGCTAACACCTTTGCAATTACCGGTCATGCAGAAGCCAAACCAATCACAGAAATGCTTCCTGGAATATTAAGTCAGTTTGGTGCTGACAGCTTCACAAGTCTTAGGAAGTTAGCTGAACAGTTCCCTTGGCAAGTGATGGATAGCAAAGCACCAAAACCAGAAGACATTGATGAGGAAGATGATGATGTTCCAGATCTTGTAGAAAATTTTGATGAGGCATCAAAGAATGAAGCTAACTAAAATCTTTTCTGGCTTTTGGAACCTGGCATGGACTAGATTTAACAAATCAGCTACGTGGTTCCAAAATTTTACAGTCATGGAGAACCAACTGTTACTAGTTCAGAAATACAAATATTTTGTATATTAATAATGCTGTTTGTTCAGCATTTTCGGTCATTTGATTTTGCATTTTGCACTTCCTCCCAGGATCTATTCTTTTGGTCAAAATCCAAAGTATTGGTGCAGTTTGAGGGTGTTTTGATTTTTGATTCTTGGTTTCTTTTTGTTTGGGGTATTTTTGGTGTGTGTGTATTTTTTTTTTTGTGTGTGGGTATGTTTGTACACAGTGGAGAGCAAATTGGAGAACAGTTTTATTTATCATTCTCTTTTCCCCAGTAGAAATAAAACAAATCTTTACAAAAAAAAAAAAAAAAGAATTCTGGTGTTGGTTTTCAGGGATAAATTTAGAGTTTGATAACCAGGATGTGAGGACAGAGGCAAAGAAGACTGGTATCTATGGGCAGGGGCAAGGCCGAAGATCTGGGAAGTTGGAAGACAAGGCAGAATTGAAAACATCAGTTAGTAGGAATAAGCCAAAGGTTTGGCAACCAGGAGGATAAAACATAAATGGGGAAGGGCAATTGGTTTTGGATAGCCAAGGCAGGTAAGGCCAAATAAGAAGAGCAAGGTAAAGGTAGGGATAATTCTGGAGCAGTGATGATGCTATACTGTCTTTCTTTATGTTGAGAATGTATGGAGCCCAGGCTCACAGATAATTAGAAGTAATGAGCTAGAGAGGGAAAATACGGTGGCTGAATTGTTACCACAGCATCAGGAGAACTGGAGCTACCAATAACTTCTTATAGAAAGGACCATGATACTTACAGGATCATAATATGGTCTTTCAACTATTTAATACATTATATAATATTGTCTATGTTGTTTTAACAGCATTCCAAAAGGTTGGGGCTACTTGACCATTCTGGCACCACGAAACCTCTTGTATATGAGAAGTCACTTCCTCTTTGGCTCAAGATGTTGGATGACCCGATTTTCACCAGAAATACTCTTCAAATCAGTTTCATTTAGGTTTTTTGGTGTGAAGTCTGATAATGAAAACAGTGAGCCTTTGAAGAATAGACTACTGAATAGCTTACTTACTATGGGAGTAGATGTTGACATGGCCAAGAAACGACAGCCCGGAGTTTTTAATAGGACGGGTATTAATGAGCAGGATCTGAAGATGTTCCTTCTGTCCAAAGGAGCTGGCCAAGAAGTGATTGCTAGCATCATATCAAGATATCCACGAGCCTTAACACGCACAACTGAAAATCTTTCAAAACGGTGGGATTTGTGGAGAACAATTATGACATCGGACCTTGAAATTGTAGATATTTTGGAACGTTCTCCTGAATCATTTTTTCGGTCCAATAACAACGTAAACCTGGAGAATAATATAAAGTTTCTCTACTCAGTTGGATTGACCCGGAAGTGCCTTTGTCGATTATTGAACAATGCCCCACGTACCTTCTCCAATAGTCTTGATTTGAATAAACAGATGGTTGAATTTTTGCAGGAAGTATGTTTGTCCTTAGGTCACAGTGATCCCATAGATTTTGTCAGGAAAATAATTTTAAAAAACCCTTTCATCTTAATTCAGAGCACCAAACGGATAAAAGCTAACATTATGTTTTTACAGTCAACTTTCAACCTGAACAATGAGGAGCTGCTTGTTCTGATATGTGGTCCAGGAGCTGAAATCCTAGACCTTTCCAATGGCTGTGCCAAAAGAAACTACACAAATATCAAAGAGAAGCTGTGTTCTCTTGGGTGCACTGAACAGGAGGTACAGAAGTTTGTCTTGAGCTATCTAGATGTGCTCTTCTTGGGAGAGAAAAAGTTTAATGATAAAATAGATTGCCTCATAGAAGAAAAAATTAGCATTTCACAAATAATTGAAAATCCTCGGATTCTAGATTCAAGCATAAGTACTTTAAAAAGTCGAATCAAAGAATTGGTAGATGCTGGCTATAACTTGAGTACATCAAACATCTCTCTTCTGTCTTGGAGTCAGAAAAGATATAAAACTAAATTGAAAATGTTAAACATGCGATAGTGCATTTTTCTGGGGAATTAAAAAAATAGTGATATAATTTCACTTTGAATTTAGGCCTTTCAAAAAGGAGATGTTTGATTTCTTAACCACATATACATATATAATGATTATTTGGATATTTTATTTTAAAGGTTCGTAAAAACTCCTGGTTAGTATGCTCAAGTATAGTCTTCCCAGCTACTTTTCCTCTAGTTTGAATTAATACAATATCCTATTATGTGGTAAAGGCCGTGTAAATGGTACTTTCTGAGTGCCAAGGCAGAACAATGTATATGAAAAGATAGAAAATACAAAATAAGCTTTTTTCAGGTTTTTGTTCAAATAAAAAATGGACAGATTCACTTAGATCTTTCCATTTTTTTTTTCATGGGTTTGAATGGCACCCTATTTCTCCTGTTATTCCCACATATCTAATTATGGTTCAAAATAGAATGCCAGTAAAAATCTGACAAAACAGGAGAGATTTTTCACCCCAAGTTCTACATTCTTTATTTAAAACAGTATTTAACCCAAATTGAGCCCTCCACTGTAGGCTCAATTTACTATGTGTATAATCCTGATTTTTTTGAACACAAAGGCAACTGTAGTAGGCTAAATAATTGCCACCCAAAGATGTCAATGTCATAATTTTCAGAATCTGTGAATATGTTGTTAAATTTCAAAAAGACTTTGAAGATGGGATTAGGGACTTTAAAATGAGATTGATTACCTGGATTATTTGGATGGGCCCAATATAATCATAAGGGTGCTTAAAAGTGGAAGAGGGAGGTAAAAGGAGATCAGAGTGAAATGATGATAGAAGAACTTGACCCACTTACTGGCTTTGAAGGAGGAAGGGGCCATGAGATAAGGAACACAGGTAACCTCTTTAGAATGTAAAAGGCAAGGAAACATTTTCTAGTGCCCCAGAAGGAAATGCAGCCCTGCCAGGATCTTGAATTAAGTCCAGTGAGTCCTGTGTCGAATTTCTGACCTACAGAGCCATAAGATAATATATTAGTGTTGTTTTAAGCCTCTGAGTTTGTGATAATTTGTTACAGCAGCAAACAGGATAACAGCAACTATATAGATTGTTAGTTGCATTATAGATGAAGCCACAAAATATGGTCCTTTTAGTATCATATTTGTATTTCTTCCTCATATAATTGCCTTTTTTATCCAACTACCTTTCTGGAACCGCTAATAAGTTAGTGTTTGTAAAGTCCTCTAAATGTATGGATAAAAACTAAATATGAGTAATAAAATCTAAATAAAGAAATATTTATTTTGCCTAATGAATGTGATTTAAAGAAATGGTGATCATTTCTGTATATTAATATTTTGTTAGCATTTCATCTAAATAAAGAACAAGGAATTTCTAGAAGCATTGACTTTTAAAAAAATACATTTTTTATTGATAGTATTACATTTTCTCCCCCTTCCCTCCCTCCTTTCAACCACCCCCCCCCAAGTCTTCACCACCCTAGAAGCATTGACTTAAGAAAGACAAATCAGATGATGTCTGTACCTTGAAGACATGTACAATGTAGCTCCGAATAAACTGAAAGAGAAGGGACACATTACATAACCTTAATTACTTTTAATTGTTTTCCAGAGTCATTTGTCTTCTAGATGTGGCTTTTGAATTAAATAACAATGGCATTCACCCTTTTAAGCCTTATTTCCTATAATGATGCCTCAAAAAAACTTATTCCCACCACTGATAGAAAACAAAATACCTGCTCTTTTAAGGGCATTTGTCCATGATACTCTTATTCCAATTATTTCCAATATGCTCGTTGATGGCGAGCATGACAGGCATAGTTTAGAAAACATGGGCTTCAGAGAGACATTTCTTTAGGATGATATATCTAGGCACCATTCCTGAATAGCTCTGTTACTTTGTGTAAATATTTTAAGTTCATTGAACTTGTTTTCTCATCTCTATTAAATGTTAAAAATTGACCTTGAAGAGTTGGTGGGAATCAGGTGATATAAGGTCTCTAAGGTTTCTTGTACATACTAACTATTCAATGGTAGCTGTAAGAAATAGTTACAGTAGTATTTTTTAGTATAGTTCAAACAGCTTTCTTGATATCTAATTCACATACCATACAATTCACCAATTTAAAAGTATACAATTCATTTTTTTTGTTTTTATAGGGCTGTGTAATCCTTACCACAATCTAATTTTAGAATTATATTTGTACCTCTTAAAAGGAAGCCTGTGCCCATTAACAGTCAATCCCCATTGTCCCCCCCTTCTATTTCCCCAGCCCTAAGCAACCACTGATCTACTTTTATCTCATAAATTTGCCTGTTCTGGGCATTTTATATAAATGGAATCATACAATCTGTGGTCTTTTGTGACTGGCTTCTTCCACTTCGCATGATGTTTTCAAGATTCATCCATGTAGCATGTATCAGTATTCCATTCCTTTTTATTGCCAAATAATGCTCCATAGTATGGGTCCAGTAGTATTGGTAGTATATTTGATTGTTATGACTTAAACATAAGTCTTAACATTATTACTTCCTCAGCCTATTGAGTTGTATGGGGAGTATTTTCTGAGGTATTTTTTTCAGAATCTAAAAGTTTATAAGGAACTTGAGAAAGGTTGGCAGAGGAGATAATTTTTGTCATTAACTGGTAAGAGGATAATCCCTGGGTTGATGAGATAATATAGCAGCAGCAGTTGCCAGTGACCAAGGAGAATGTGGGATGCATGGAAGTATAATATAGCACTTGTTTGGGGTTTTGGAGAGGGACAACTTTGTAGAAACAAATGGATAATGCCTGTCAGGCAATATTAACATCATATTTTAAGGTTTGAGTCTGATTGAAGAAGAGTCAATTCTTTAACCTTTTTTTGAATTATAAAAATTTTAAGTAAATTTTTTCTTATGAGTACATAAGAAAATTTACATTTTTAATAGAAAAAAATGGAAAGTAAACCACAGTAAAGAAGAAAAAAAACTATGTTCTTATCTCCCAGAGAGATATTTTGCTAACTCTTTGTTTTCTTTGTAGAATATAGCCATACATGGATGTAATATGAGTAGATATGTGGCATATATATTTATGTATTTATTTTAATGTATCTTTATTGTTGAAAGTATTCCAGATGTCCCTTTGTTTTTTCCCCCATTGAACCCCTCCATCCTGCACCCGCCCCTCCCAGGCCTTCACCAGACTATTGTCTGTGTCCATGGGCTAAACATATATGCATATAAGTTCCCTGGTCATATTCATATATATATATGTGTGTGTGTATATATATAATAGCAACATTGTGTGAAGATTAATGAGCTTATGTACATGAACTGCTTTGTGTTAATTATGAAAAATTTTAATGTGATGGTATGATAGTTCTTCCATCTCCACTTTGAATATTCCAGTGCCACCTTCACCAGCTGTTAAAGTATCTTCAATTTATGCCCACCATGATTTGTCTTTTTCTTTATTTTACAATGGAAATGAATTTTTTCTTTGAAAATACATAGTAATTGTAAAAGCCTTTGAACAATACAAAGAAACAAAGTCCCAGCTAACTTATTTATCATAAGATTGAGGAAATATTCTTTAATTATTAGTTCACAAGGAGGTTTGTTTAAGTCAGGATGAATAATAATTTTTGAAAAAACCCTTTAAAAATCATCTTTAATTCATTAATGAATATCAGTTGATTTCTTCATTTCACCCTTTGTTTTACTGAAAAACAACACCCATTGCCAAATTTAACTTACTGACATTTTACTTAAGATTTTAAAATTAATATTTATAAGGGGATTGGTCTACCACTTTCCCCTCCCTTTGTTATTGAAGTTTTCTTGGGTAGTTTTTAGGTGCCACTTTGTCAGGTTTTTGGATGAGGGTTGTGCTCGCCTCACAAAATTAATTTCCAAGGTTATTTTTCCCTACAGTTTGGAACCATTAGAAAATGGTGGGAACTATCCATTTCTTTAAAGTTTGGCAGAACTTGCCTGTAAAATCATCGGCTTGGTGTCTTGTTCAGGATAGATCCTTGACAGCAACAGAAAGTTGCTTTGAAAATTATTATTATTTTTTTTTTGTTAATCCTCACTTGAGGATATTTTCCCATCGATTTTTTAGAGAGAGTGTAAGGGAGAGGGAGAGACAGAGAGAAACACCGATGTGAGAGAGACACATGGATTGGTTGCCTCTCGCACACACCCCGACTAGGGCTGGGGATCCTGCTTGCAACCAAGGTATGAGCCCTTGACCCGAATTGAACCTGTGACCCTTCAGCCCACAGACTGACACTCTATCCACTGAGACAAACCAGCTAGGGCACCAATGTCTTTTTTGGTGGATACTCGTATAAAGCTCTTTCTTGTCCTAGTTAAGGCATTTTGCTTTGAATTCTGTGTCGATGTTAGCATTGCTATGCTTTATGTTCATGCAAAGACTTACATATACATCTTCATAACAGCTTAACTTGTAATAACCAAAATCTGGTAATAACCTATGTTCATCAACAGGTAAAAGGAAAAATAAATGGTGATACTTTCATATATAGTGGAATATTATTTAGCAATACAAAAGAATGAACAATTAATAAATACAACAACCTACATGAATGAAAAAAACCAGACAAAAAAGAGTACAATCTATATGATTCAAATTTATTATTATTTAAAAAATTTTTCTTTATTGATTAAGGTATTACATATGTGTCCTTATTCCCCCATTAGCCCCCCACCATCCCACTCATGTCCTCACCCCCCTGGTGTCTGTGTCCATTGGTTAGGCTTATATGCATGCATACAAGCCCTTTGGTTGCTCTCTCCCCCTTACCCCCATCCTCCCCTACTTTCCTTCTGAGGTTTGACAGTCTGATCGATGCTTCTCTGTCTCTGGATCTGTTTTTGTTCATCAGTTTATGTTGTTCATTATATTCCACAAATGAGTGAGACCATGTGATATTTATCTTTCTCTGACTGGCTTATTTTGCTTAGCATAATGCTCTCTAGTTCCATCCATGCTGTTGTAAATGGTAAGAATTCCTTCTTTTTTACCACAGCGTAGTATTCCATTGTGTAGATGTACCACAGTTTTTTAATCCACTCATCTGCTGATGGGCACTTAGGCTATTTCCAAATCTTCACTATGGTAAATTGTGCTGCTGTGAACATAGGGGTGCATATATCCTTTCTGATTGGTATTTCTGATTTCTTGGGATATATCCCTAGAAGTGGGATCACTGGATCAAATGGGAGTTCCATTTTTAGTTTTTTGAGGAAACTCCATACTGTTCTCCACAGCAGCTGTACCAGTCTGCATTCCCACAAGCAGTGCACTAGGGTTCCTTTTTCTCCACATCCTCACCAGCACTTGTTATTTGTTGATTTGTTGATGATAGCCATTCTGACAGGTGTGAGATAGGACCGCATTGTCGTTTTGGTTTGCATCTCTTGGATGATTAGTGACTTTGAGCATGTTTTCATATGTCTCTTGGCTTCCTTATGTCTTCTTTCAAAAATTATCTATGTAGGTCCATTGCCCATTTTTTGATTGGCTTATCTTCCTTTTGTTAAGTTGTATGAGTTCCCTGTAAATGTTGGAGCTTAAACCCTTATCGGAGATAACATTGGCAAATATGTTCTCCCATGCAGTAGGCTTTCTTGTTGTTTTGTTGATGGTTTCTTTTGCTGTGCAGAGTTTATTTTTGTGTATGGTGTAAGTTGGTGGTCTATTTTTATTTATTTATTTTTTAATTTTTTTTTAAATTTTGTTTTATTGCTTAAAGTATTACAAAGAATATTATATATATCTCCCTTTTTTCCCCTTCTTGACATTCCCCTGGCTTCCCCTATCCCCCAGTGTTTTATGTCCATTGGTTATGCTTATATGTATGCATAGAAGTCCTTTGGTTGATCTCTTACCCCCCCCCCATTTTTATTTTTAAAAAAATATATTTTTATTTATTTTAGAGATGAAGGGAGAGGGAGAGAGATAGAAACATCAATGATGAGAGAGAATAATTGATCGGCTACCTCCTGCACACTCCCTACTGGGGATCAAGCCCACAACCTGGACATGTGCCCTTGACTGGAATCGAACCCAGGACCCTTCAGTCCGCAGGCTAATGCTCTATCCACTGAGCCAAACCAGCTAGGGCTATATGATTCAATTTCATATAAAATTCTAGAAAATGCTCACTAATTTGTAGTTAGAGAAAGTAGATCACTCATTGTCTGGGATTGGGTTGGGGTGGAGGGGGGATGGCCATTGAGGAGGGACTGCCAACGGACACAAGGAAACTTGGAAGTTATGT